CTGCATGAAGGAAGTTATGCTAAAATTGCCATGCTCCAGGAACGCCACCATTCCAATCTGGCTGTTTCTAGCCTCATGCAATAGTAAATAGCTACCTCCATGCAAGGAGCAAACCAATCTAAAACAGAAAGACCTCCTGAGGAAAGATGATCAATAAGAAGACAAATTGAAGCAGCCTACAAAACCACCTCTGGAAGCACTCTTAATTGAGAGCCAAAGAGCAGAACCACCACATTTGGGACAAAGGAGCCAGGGTCCATAGCTGCTGCATGAGTACCACATTTTCTAAACACAGACTCCACTCCCCACGAAAATGCAGCCCATTGACACAAACAATCCCACTGCAGTCTCCAGCACCAAGTCATTTCCTGGACCAAGCTGCACAACCACTTAGGCATACACAAAATGTGTGCTAAGATTTTTACATCAACTGCAGCTGCTGACTTCTGCAATTAACAAAGGGAAACCCCTTCAAACCTCTCAACAAAGTACATGCTGCTTTTCTATCAACACTTTATCAACAACAGGATTGTCAACAAAATGTCTTAGGTAAAAAACAATATCTGAGGGGACACCTGGAAAGTTGCTATCAACAGATGTCCCCATACAGTTGCAGGCCTTGATGACTTGTGACTTACTGAGTTATTTTGGGAAGAAGACACTTTGTTTTTCACATTTTAACCTAGATATTCTTTAAGCAACTGAAAAGAAAGACAATGCTAGTAAAAACAGTTATAAAAAACTTGACAACGTCGAACTGTACATAACAACAGGGCTCCATTAGAGTATTTCTCACCACTACAAAACAAATTTCACAAACAGAAGAGGTGAAATATACAAACTTCAGTTTATCACATTGCCAAGCCTGCCTTTGTTGTCTGACCCATAGCTACACATTCACAGTTGGAATACATGAATGTGTTCATCAAATTAAAATACTGCTATCTCAGATGCAGCTTGTTACAAGACATACACATTGTTTTTGTGGTGGTTTATTTTTGCGCAGGTTTTCCTACTGCTTGTTAGTAGAACCGCGGCCACATGGCAGGAAGTCTTCTCCTTTACTTCTATACTCCAAATTGACATTCTTGGAAAAGGCTTTTTAAAGAAATAAATGAAATATGGGGATGAAAAACTTATCATCAGCTAAAATTCCTCATCTCATAACCCACTTTTTCTTTTTCCTTATACCACTAAATGCAACTATCAGTGATTAAAAGTAGAGAAGAGCAAAACAGTGCAACTCAGATTGCTGTAAAGCTGGCTGCTGAGACTATAAAGAATCTTCTAATTTTATCAGCAAGAGTTTGGATGAAGCAAATATATTGATATATGCCTTGCCAGTGAAATGAGATAAACAGGTATGTCCAGTTTCTCTATAAAGGCACAGCACATTAGTTCTACACCACTGCCTACTGGGATCAGACAGAGCATTGAAAAGTTCACACTAAACCTGAAAAGCCAACGCTAAGCCTTAAAAGCCAGAGACTCAACTAAGAATCTTCTTTTTAACACACCCCTGCACACACACACACACACAAACACACACACACACACACACAGACGCTTCCTGGTCATCCTCGAGCAGCCCGAACCTTTCCTATTCCCCTCTTTCCCCAACGCCATTACTCGTGCTGTAGTTGTTATTCTGTTGTAAGCTTTAATTGAGCCGACTGTCAAAACACAGCAGCGTTATGGCACTGCAAATTAATAATCTGGCTCCTTCCCCTGTGCAACTCAAAGCTAAGGAACGCTCACGACTCTAGGAAACCTGCAGAAGTTACCTATGCCTACATGTTTGTAGTAGCACCTTCTCCACAGCTGGCATTGTGCCACCTAAATTTTATAATCGTACGACTTAGAGCCTCTGCTACGGAGCGGAGAGATAAATTCAGCAAGAGGAAGCTCCGCAGAAGACATAAATAAATATTCCCCCCCTCACCTTCCGGGGCTAAGTAATTTTGTTGATGAAGGCGCATAACCTTCGGCTCTCTCTTTGAGGCCTTTTCCTTGAAAACAAAGAAATCGGTGCCCACTGCCCCAATCCCCAGTGCCGTCCGTGGATTTCCATAATTGATCTGTTCGATGAGGGAGGCGATAATCGCAGGGAGCAGTTCCTGCGCCTCCCACTCTCCGTGCGGCACCGCTTCCCCGAGGAGCGCCTTCCCTTCCGCCCGCTCCCCCCGGGGGCCGCGCCGGGTCGGGGGTGCCCAGGCCGGCTGACAGCTCCGGCTGCCCCCGCTGCCCGCGGCCCCGCCGCACAGCGCGGCCCACGGGGCCTGCGGAGGCCGCTCGGCCCGGCCCGGGCCCGGTACTCACGGGGAAGGCGCGGATCCGCATCTTGGTGTCCTTCCGGCTGCCCGTCCCCTTGCTCAGGTTCGACATCTTCGGGGCCGGCGGCGCCTCCGGCGCGGGGCGGCAGAGCCGGGGGACGCGCGGCGGGGCGGTGCACCCGGGAACGGGGCCGGGGGAGGCCGCTGGCGACCTTCGCTGCGAGCGCGGCCCCCGGGGGGGCGCGGAGGGCGCGGGGGCCGGGCCGACCGGGCCGGGCCGGGCGGGAGAGGCGGCGGCGCGGGCCCCTCGCTCCGCTGGCGGCGCTTCCTTCAGCCTCCGCCGCGATGGCGGACAAACATCGCTCACTGCGCAGGGCCGGGCGCCCCCCCTTCCCTTCCTTCCCTTCTCTTCCTTCCCTTGCTCTCGTTCCCTTCCTTCCCTCCCCTCCCACCGCCCGGCACACTCGGATCCGGCCGCGGCGGGGCGGGGGCGGCGGGAGGGCCGGGGGCGGGGGCGGAGGGGGGCCTCGCCGCTCTCGCGAGCTTTCCGCCGCTCTCGCGAGACGTCCCGTCTCCGGCGGGCCGACACGGCCGCGATGGGCGGGGAGCGGAGGGCGGGGAAGGCGCGCGGGCGGGGAGGGCGCCGCTGATTGGCGGAAAGCGGCGCCGCGCGAGGGGGGCGGGCCCAAGGCGGGCGGGCGGTGCGTCCCGTGAGGGGCGGCAGGACCGTGGCTGCCCGGGAGGGTTTGCAGCTCCTCCGGTGCCACGGGCATCTCGGCGTCGTCGGGGGCGGAAGAGAGCTGTAAAATCATAAAATCCAACCGGCCACTCAGCGCTGCCCCATAACCCCTAAGCAACTGAACACACACCCAGTGCCAGACCCAGACGCCTCTTAAACACCTCCAGGAATGGCGACTCCACCGCCTGCTCCACATCCCACTCGTCGGGCTTGTGGCAGTTGTTTTATTAGGTCTAAAGCGCAGGTTTTGGTGCCACTACAGGGCTGTGCCAATGGGCCTCGCAGCTGCTGAAGCCCCGCGGGCAAACGGGGCACGGCCCGGCCGGGCAGCCCCTGCCCCTGCCTGGTACCGGGTGTCAGCCTGGCACCTGCCTGGTACCTGCTGTCAGCCTGGTACCGGGTGTCAGCCTGGCACCGCGGCCCTTTTCCTGTTCCTGGCCCTTGGCAATCCCTGCCAGTGCTGCCCCTGTGAATCATGCCAGCGGCACGCGGGTCCCGCCGCACAGTGCCGTGATGCAAGGCAGGTGTATTCGGAGATGCTCTGTGGCTGCACAGTGCCAGGTGTATCCAGTGATGCCCCCTGTCTGCACAGTGCCAGGTGTATTCAGTGATGCTCTGTGGCTGCACAATGCCAGGTGTAGTCACCAATGCTCTGTGGCTGCCTTGCAGTGCATGCTTGGGAAATGAGGGTGCCACCTGAGGCAACATTTACATGTGCCCGGAGTTAAATATAGGTCGTTCAGCAAAAGGGCAGTTGCTGTAGAATGGTTAGAAAATGTCAGATTCTGTCAATTAACAGAGGGGCGCTTCTGGAAGTTAGGCTGGTCAGCCAAAAAGAATCTAGGTGCCAGATGCCAAGGGGCTGACTGGAAAGTTAGTGGGTTTTGAAGTGAAATGTGCGTCAAAACATATCTTGCTCAAGATTCCCCAAAGGAAGGAGGTGCCATAGCCTGGAAGAGAATTTCTTTGGGGTGACTCTTGAACTGGACTCTGAATACCACGGCATTGTGTGATGCACATTTTGCACTCCATCATCCGTGTTTTCCACAGATGCCTGTACACTGCACCTGTTCACAGGGCACAGAAACAGCTTTCCTTCTCTGAGCTAGTTTACCTTCTGTCCCAGTGATTTCACCAGTTTGGTTTCTTGGAGTTGGTTACAAACACTTCCTATTGGGACTGTGCATGTTCATATATGACATATTTTTTTAATCTCCTAATCAGAATTAAGTATATACGCCTAGAGTAGGTGTTATATAAGAGCAACACAATAAACAGTGATTGCAACATGACTATGCAATAGGAACCAGTCCTTTTCAAAATTACAGTATAGTCAAAATGCAGATCAAAGATGAGATGAGAAGGGAAAGATTACTGGCTGTTAATGTGAAGAATATGGCTTACACATTGTTTCAATATAATTTCAATGTCATTTCTCCTCCTAAGTATTTTCTTTGCCAAATGAGGACAACCTCTTATGTTAATGCAGGTTTTTTCCCAGTCCATAACAGTTAGGATAAACAAATTTGAAAATGTTTGACTCTTGAAAAAACAGTTTGCAGAACTGAAATAAAAGTAAATTTATATTAAAACACAGATTTTTTCGTTTTGAAAATGCTGCAAGAACACTTTTCAACAAATTTAGTGCACTTTTCAAAACTCAAAACTTCCCCCACAAACCATTTTTGAAGAACTGGCATTTCTTCTTTCAAGAAAGAAAAAAATCCCAACTTTTACTGTCCCCAGTACTGCAGAGAGTTTGGAATTAAATTCTCTAATGATTGCTTCTGTGCTTCCTGCCACTGGCCTTATGCTTATGGCAGCCCTGGACAACCAGCCTTTTGCCTTCTAAGTTACTCATAATGCACATTTTTTATCTAAAAGTAGAAGAGTGCTGACTCACCCTCAGACACTCTTCAGGCTGGCACATAACACCCAACAAAAAATAAAATATTCTCCTACCAAGTAATCTCAATTCTCACATCAAATAGCTTTCTTTTACACATGAGTTTCTAGCTACCACACACTAGCACAAGTGTAATGATAGCTCTGATTTTATTACCTAATGCTGAATTTGGAGCCTCAGCCTTCTTTTGGTGCAGATTTATGACCCAGTGTGTCACATCTGCTAGCACAGATTCCTCTGGAGCTCCTCCTTTCATGTCTGAGCTCTGTTCTGTGACTGTCCAAGGTGCAGACAATTACCATTTTTAGTGCAAATTTTCTATTTCCATACATAATATACAAAAAGAGGTTTCACTAAAAGCTACCCTTTGAGCTTACACAGAGAACTAATTGACATGCTTGTTAAGTGCTTATAGTGTTAATTCCAGGTGGGTCAAACAAGAAGGAAGACAGGCAGGTGGAGGAGAACAGATCAGCACAGGAAGCATGATGCACCTTGTGGCTTCCCAGGTCACCCCAGCTGTGTCCCAAACATCTCATGTCCTTCTGTGGTCCAGCCACGAGGGAATGGTTCTTGTGCACAGGAGGTTCACCCTGTTGGAAAATGCACATGTGAGCATTGAGCAGCCTAAAACCCAGCGACCACAACATGCAGAGCTATGAACAGCCCCAGAATCATTTACCCTAGTGCAGAGAACAGCTCAGCATGATCCTAAGAAGTCATTTACAGTTTGGGTTTTCTGTTTTCCTGAAGTCCTCTCAGTCCTCTGGTTTTAGATACTGATGATCTCACAAATGACAGGGGACATTGGTTAGGTGCTCACCAGTCCACACAGAATATCTCCACCTGAATAACACATCACCTCCTTGCTGTCAGCACCAGAAGGGTGGCCCTTTGCATCGACCTGGATGTCTTGAAGGTCACAGCAAATCTTTAATTATTTAAATACTGGGTTTATAATGTGATTTATAGCTTAACATAAAATCTTAATGATGTGAAAGGCATCAGAAATTTTAGAAGAATGTAAAGAGCACATTATATTGGACTTGATCTAAATTTATATTTTTATATAAATTAGGCCTTTAGGCAGAACAGAGCTTGTGCTAACTTCCAGAAAAATATTCAATATATACATGTGCAAATATGATTTCTTTATTTCAAATCATGGCTTTCTGTTTGGTAAGGCTTAATAGTGTGAGAACTGTACCTTTTTTTTTTTTTTTAAGTAACCATCCTTTCCAAGGAATCATACATGCATATTCTCAGGTCTTCCTTATGCAAGGGTGAGGGATTGAAATACAAAAACATAAATAAAAAATATTTCTATCACAGAAGGATGCAGAATGACCACATCCTGGTCTGCAGAGCACTAAATGTCTGACTGCAAACTCAGGGGCAAACATTGCAGGGTTGAACTCACTGTAAGGCGGAAAAAAAAATTCTTTGTTTGGTGGGAAAAAGTGAGATCCCTCCCTGTAAAGCCCAGATTCAGCAGGAGGGATTTTCTCACCCCAAATCTTTTTTTTTTCTACTTTTTTTCTGTGAGTGCCTGCATCAGTTTGCACGCAATGTTGCTTTCAGATTTGCATAATTGATATGTGACACAGTAACCATACACAAGACAGTTCAAGCATCCAATGAATGAACCACAGACTGGCTTTTAATTGATTATATTGAAGATTCTGCCAAAAGCAGAATGTTATTCTGAGTCACTGAAAGAACAAAAAAAAAAAAGCTCAGGACAACCTGATAAATGTATACTTGTAGTGCCTTAATTCCTTCCCTGCAAATCGCAACCAACTGACTGATTTGTTTTCAGGGTTCTGAGATTTCAGTAGGTACAGGGACAATAGCTTCCTGTAGAAACAGGATCAATATTTAGAAATATGATTTACCAGGACATTATTACGTTTCTCTTTGAAAAAACAACCATTTCAAGGCATAACGTTTCACATTATTATTTCTCTATCCATTTAGAGACTTTTTTTTCCCTTTTGTGTATGTCCTGGATGAAGAAAAAACTTGTTTTTATCTTCCTCAATCACTATTTCAGAGAAGTTTAGGCAGAGGTATAATTCACTGTAGTAAAGCTACTTACATTTCAGGTAGATCTGTATGTTTGGAGTTGTTTATTTTTTCCCTTATTTCTTCCTTCTCTGAAATAGAGTACAAAATATATGGTTTGCTTTAACAAGCATCACAGTTGGGTTTTATTTTTTGTTTTGTTTGGGGTGTTTTTTACATGGTAGGGGTGGCTGGGGGGCCTGGGGCTGCAGTGAAAGGCTGTGGAGTGGCAAGACAAGAAGGAAAACAAGCAGCATAAAGTTATTTGCTTGCTCACTCATGGAAACTCATTGCTTGGAACATTTAGCTAGGATGCATTTAAATTTAATTTCTGTTGCATTCAAATGCCACCACAAACACAGCAAATGCTAAAATATGACAGTCTAAATAACTCAACAGTTTCAAAATTAAAACAGACTAAATTACTTTCAAATACTTTTGCAAGCAGGAAGAGATGTGGAGGTACTGTCTGAGCACAGTTTTCTCTGTTCCTGCCCTTTCAGCCAGTCCTGGCTGCTGGGCACAGCTGAAGGCAGGCAGAGCTCTGAGCACGGCTCTGCACACCAGCAGCAGGCTGTCCCTCAGAGCTCTGGGCACGGCTCTGCACACCAGCAGCAGCAGCAGGCTGTCCCTCAGAGCTCTGAGCATGGCTCTGCACACCAGCAGCAGCAGCAGGCTGTCCCTCAGAGCTCTGGGCATGGCTCTGCACACCAGCAGCAGCAGCAGGCTCAGCGGCACAGGTTGCACAAGAGCTGCCTGCAGTGCCGGCCGGCTCACAGCGGGCTGTTTACAGCATGGTGCTGAGCATGGGCAGGAGGAGATGATGAGGCTGCCCTAATGAGCACATCATGTAGTGGCACATTTCAAAAACAGGTCTAACCAGACAATGCACATAATAACCAAAATTAATGCTGTCCAAACTCCACTGGCTTCCCTTTCAGTACCTGACCCACTTCAAGTTCGTTGGAATAACACTGCAGTCCTTAACAGGCTAAGTCAAGTGTCAGTCCCAGTGCAGACTCCCATCTCTGATGCAGGTCGTTGGCAGTGTTCTTGCACAATGTGACTGCAGAAGACACGAGCAAACCATGGCCTGTAATTCCTGTAATTCCCCAGCACTGCAGCTTCCCTGATGGCAGCAATCCACGCCCTGCCTGGGTCTGTGTCAAACAGGGGCTGCAGCAGCCGTGGGTCAGTGTGTCTGTGTGTCCTTGCTGCAACAGGAGAGGCTGTCCCATTGGGAACAGGCAGGCTCCTGGCTTACTGCCCCAGCTTTGAGCTGTGAAACCACTGCTTCACCATCGAGGGCAGAGTGTAAACAGGCTTCCAGGAGTGTGACAGGAGGATGTAGTTGGAGCACATTGTTTGTGCAAGGCTCACATTAGAAAAAAACAATCATGCTACAGAGTTCCAGCCAAGGGTGAAAGCTGCAGTGTTGTGGTCAGACGGATGGTTCAGGTTCAGATATCTTCCCTATCACATCACAAAAATCTGCTCTTAAGAGGTGAACAAATGTGAATGTATTGTGTCAGAAGATAGCCTCAAAGAGCCAGATGCTTCAAAACACTCAAGGCAACCTTTCAGGAAAAAAACCCAACCTGTTTTCTGTGACAAACCACAGAAGAAAATACTGTACACCAACCCAAGTAGAATTTAGAAAGCTGCACCAGTACCATCACACTACACAAACACCCACCAAAAGGTTAGGGTTAACTTGTTCTTGGTGCATAAAACACCCACCTGAGAAAGTGGTTTCTGAGAGTACTGCCATTTACATCTAGTAGGAAAAGGCAGCCCGACAAATTGGTTGGAAACTGAAGCAAGATCAAAAACAATGCAACACCAAAGATAATTTTTCCTTACAACTATTTACTTACATATGTGACAGATGCCTCATATTCAACCTGTCAAATGAAGCTTAGTAACCTGCTAAATACCAAGTCAGAGTCCAAATGGGGTGACTTCTGTTAGGAGTAGTCACTAATGCTACATTCTTCCAGAACCTCTGGGTTTATTCACTTCAGTAGTAACAGCAGCAGCAGCTCTTGGCAAAATCTGCAGATGCAGGTGTGTAATGTAGACTTTTGGGAGCATTTACCTCCTGCTTTGTGTGGCACAGACAGGGCTGATGGAGAATGCCTGAGAGAGCTGTCAAATCTTTCTTCTTATGAGATCTAGTGTCTTAGTACCAATTCAGTTTCTGTGGGACTGGAGGAAGTTACTTTGAAGCTTGAGGGAAAAACACATTTCACATTTTTCATGTTTATACTCACCAGAGATTACTTTATTTGTGGCTGTTACGGACTTTCACGCCTCAGCTATTCTGACGTTTCCTGTTTGCTAAGTGACAGAGAATTGCTTGTCTTGCATGCTTAAAATGCCTGTACATTTGTGGCCTTTTCACATTCTCTAAACCTAGATAAAACTCTAGGTTTCCCATATGTACATTTCTTCTAAAAATGTACACATTGTTCTCAAAGTTACCTCTGCATGGGAGAAGGCTCTACCCAGGTGCAGTTTGCATCTTTTACAGGCCCTCTACACTGCCACAACAAGCCTTGTGCTGTAAAGTGATTAATTCTCAGTCTCACATCATGCATTTTGTGGCCAAGCAGCTGTGCCAGTTTTAAGATGTGACCAACATTCAGGTGTTTGTCATCACTCTGCAGCAGCTGTACAGTCAACCCAGAGTAGAAAAAGCGACATAAAAAAATCAATGTTTAAATTCCAGCAGAAAAGTCAGGTGGGTGAACTCACATCACTCCTACTGGCACTTACTAACCTGCTGTCTTTGCACTAAAACCCATGATGAGAGCTCAGATGATTTATTCTGACATCTCAGCTGTAGCAGGAAGAAGGTAATTTTCAGCTTATGGCTGGAGATGGACATCTTCAAGTGCCACAAAGCCATTTCTACAGTGACCATGTGACTGAAGCCCCAGAAAACAGTCATTATTTTACAGACAGCTGGTAAACATCCTCTTCCAGACCTGGTTCTGCAGGCTAAAGATGCCAGGTATCTGGAATGGCATTCCCAGGAACCAGGGCTCTCCCTGGAATGAACTGGAATTGTGCTGCAGTTTTCCTGATCTGCCTGACACAAAGCATGCTGGTTAGCCAAGCCTGCCTTTGGCAGCTGTTTGATCTAACCCAGCAGAACTTGCCTGAAACAGAGGAGTTAGTGAGCATTAATTGCCCTGCTTACGCCTTTTTGGCAGAGTTGTGCTGTTTATAACTCCTGGTTGTGGTGAAAATGCAAAACTGGAGGCAGAGAGCGCAAGATTTCAGCAGTCAAAGGGGTTTGCAAAATGATAATGGCACATGACCATCAAGTAGTCAAGCAAATTGCATAGTACAACTGTACATTTTTTTTCTAGTTCTGATTAAAAAATGCAAAACATCCATGAAAAACACAACTGTCTTTCAGCCCTTAAACAACTCTCAAATCACAAGGCTGTGTTCAATGCAAGAAATGATCTTTTAATAGCTTTTATTCCATGACAGTAAATTCAGACAAGATGCCTCTTTAAACCACAAGATTATTGCTGCTATCTTCACTACACTGTCATCTGAGAGCCAGCAAACAGTACTTTTATCTGGCACTAGACAAGCACAGAAAATAGACAATTTCTGCAAAAAGGTTTGCAAATGATGCAGATAAGGCAGGTTATGGGAAAGGTGTGGTGGGAAGGAAGATGTGTTTTCAGGAATGGGATTATGGTCCTTGGCCTTGCAGTTTGAAAGGAGGCCTAAAGCAAGGGAGCAGAAGATCCCATAGTAGATAAACTGAACCTGTTGTGAACATGCATGAGATCACCTTGGTGTGCATCTGTCTCTTGTGCAGAGTCCAGTGGGTTTGGCAAAGCAGGCCCACGTGTGCTGAGCCTGGCTTTTGGAACAGCCATGACATGGATGCAAGGTAAAAAAACAACTTTGGATTGCAATGTGTTATTTATTTGATCTTAGAGAAGTACCTAAATAAATAATGTCCTCCTGAGAGAGCATGGTGTGTTGGTAGTGCAGACCCATTCCTGTGAAATTGCTACAGTTTCTCAAGGCATGAAAAGATGAAGTGCAGAAAAAAGAAGAGCTACATACACCTAAATAAAAATCTATGTGCAAGACCATCTCCCTCAGATGGATGTATCAGATGCATGGCAAAATTTTCCTAATATAAAACAATGTATCAAGAAAAGTTCATTGGTACTGATGTATTTTATACAAGCCTCCTGTGCTGATAAAAAGAGAATAAATATTTGATCAAACAGTGACACCTTTTAAAGGTGATGCTCAGGTTGGCAATCACATTTCTTAGTGTCTCTCTCTGACCCAAATTCTTTCTAGGGATTGAAATCAGCTGTGGCCAGATCTCAAGGCTTATTTGGCTCCAGCTTCATGGCTAGGGGATGTTTTATTCATGTCATTACTAAAATCACTACTTCAATTTAAAATGCTGTCAGACAGTCTGCAGATTCTGCCCATAGAGTATAAGCCAAGCAATATTCCTCAAATGAGCTGTGTTGCACATAGCACTCTTGAAAATCAATTTTTATTGCATATACCATTGATATTTCTTAATTTGAGCAAACAGCAAGTTCAATACCACTGTAAAAAAATGTGACTCTGTAAAACACTTCTGGTTTAGTATGGAGAGAGAATACTAGTACTAATGCTAAGATAGATAATAAGAATTATTTCTAGGAGATATTTTTCTTTTTCTCTATTTAATGGGATCCTTCCAATATCTAACTGGGAGTGGAGGAATTAAACAAAAAATTCTACAAATTTCTTAACCATAATCTCCTTTACCAACTTTTCTGGTTCTTCTAATTGAGAAATTATAACAGCTAGGAATAGGCACATGTTGTTATCAGAAACCCTTTGCAACTGGTAACATGGATCCAGTTATGTGCTTCACTACTTTCTACTGGTTTCATGAGCATAGTTTAAAGAAAAACAAAAAAGAATGTGAAAACTTAAAAACCCCCAATATTCTGGCATTTCAAAAATGCTACAATTTCATTCTTTTGTCAAAATTACTATGAATTTCCTTCTCTTTTACTTTAAAGGCCATTTTAAGGGATATTTCTGACACCTGCAGTATGCAAGACAACTATTTGGATGCAGATTTATTGGAAACCCCATCAATCCATCTGTCTTTAAAAATGCTCCTAATTAGCTTGCAAGGTTTTGGGTTCACATTAGCTAAAGACCCTTAGAAATTCTCCTCCTCAAAGATTTCCAATATTACTTTATTTTTTAAGCAAAGCAGGCATCTTAGCAGAACATGAATTTAACAAATGTGTGTATTAATGAAGTGAATGTGGGATGAACGTTCATTGCAAACCTTGTCTCTAGTACCAGATCGTTCAGGAAAATAGAAGTAAGTAAATTCTAGGGTAGTCTTGAGGTGTTTTAGAAATAACAGGAACAACACTTGTGCTATTTTAGCCATTTTGTTGTTGAAATGCTATCACTGTTTAGCAACTCTTAGACATCAGGCAACAGCTCAGCAAACCTAGGTTTGCAGATTTCTTCAAACCAGGAACGTCAAAGAGTTTTCTTCTGCCAAATGAGACAAAGTCAGCCAAATGGAAAGGTGTAAATCCTGTCCTCTTGTGCCCTGAGCATCTCTAGCCCCCTTCAGGGCCTGGCAGAGGTCGAAGCTGTCAGCTCTTAGCAGCTGTAAAGAGCATGGGGCATAATGCCAGCTTTTAAATTAAACAAACAAAAATACTTTTCTTGTTGGCTTTTAAAGGCATGTATATTTCTTTCACACTTAGTGCTCAGTACATGGTCTTATTTAAGTGAGTGGCTGGAAAAGTACCAAAGACTTTTTTATGCTTACATTGCCAAAAAGAAGACTGCAGGATTTTTGAATACAGGATCTAGGAAGACATCCCCTGCTCCATCTCTGGGCCAGTTGGACTATTAGGAGCTGGGAAGATTTTTGACCAGATTGGAAAGTCCTAAAGGTCATTTCACAAGGCCCATCAATCAGCCTAATGCTGGGCCAGTTGCCATAGCAGAAACATGTTTAAAGAATTTTTGATTAGTTAAAAGGACGATCCATTTAATTGTAGATTTTTACCCAGGAAGAGTGGCATGCGTTTGGTTTTTAATTTAT